TATTGCACCTGAGTAACTGCCTCAGCAGATCGGGTTTTTTTGTGGCTAGGTTATTAGCGTGTTGTTCCCGTAATGGGAACTTGGTATCAAGATGTCATAGGACACTGCATAGACCTGGTAGTTTTTAGGGTAATATCAGTACATATTAGTTACATAATTTGCATAATAAATTAATTTTCAGCTTTTGATATTTCAAGTAGTAACCATTACATTTCAATGAAAAATGGTACATAGATTCTCAAGGACTATGCAAAGATCGATTGTTTTGGGATAAATATATGTGCATATTAATCACTTAATTTGCCTAATTAGTTAATTTTCTGATTTTCACGTATACAGTATATGCTATACCATACAGATCACGTTACCGACAGGTACAGCTAAACTAGGTGTATATTACTGTAATACTTGAGATGCGTGAATACAAACAGTACAATTAACAGCACTAGGTGAGTAGATCAAACCATAACAGCAGATATGGTATACAAAACAGATCAACATACCTACAGGTACAGGGAGACTAGGTATATATTACTTTAACACTTGGGATGTGTCAATACAAACAGTACAGGAAGCATTGCAAGGTGAGTAGATCAAACCATAACAGCAAATAGTGCTATTAAATGCAGCTCACCCTACCAACTGATACATGTAGACCAGGTGTATATTAATGCAATTATTCAGATGTGTCAATACAAGCAGTAGAAGTAACATCGCAAGGTGAGTAGATCACACAATAACAGCAGATATGGATATATAATACAGCTCAACTTACCTACAGGTACAGATAGACTAGATGTATATTACTGTAGTACTTCAGATGTGTCAATACAAACAGTACAAGTAACATCACAAGGTGAGTAGATCAAATCATAACAGCAGATATGGCTATACAATGCAGCTTAACTTACCTACAGGTACAGGTAGACCATGTGTATATTACTGTATTACTTCAGATGTGTCAATACACACAGTACAAGTAGCATCACAAGGTGGGTAGATCAAACCATAACAGCAGATATGGCTATACAATGCAGCTTAACTTACGTAAGGTACAGGTAGACCAGGTGTATATTACTGTAATACTTCAGATGTGTCAATACAAACAGTACTAGTAGCATCACAAGGTGAGTAGATCAAACCATAACAGCA